GGTGCTTCCTTCTATCTGTTCTGAGTTGCTCATCATTCAGCTTCAGCAACTGAGTCCAGGTTCTAGTAAAAAGGAGAAAAGCTGGGTGGATTTGTACAAGGGTGGTGTAATACCGGCAATATTATTATTAGTGCCATGTCTAAATATGATCAATATGAAAACTGCCTTTTTGTCAAGCAGCCACACATTGATTTGACATTTTAATTGAGCTAACTGATAATCTCAAGATTCTTTTAATTTTAGGCTCATGTCTTATCAGCGTACATTGGAAGTTGGGCTTATTTGCCCTGATATTCTCACTCTATATCCTCTCTTTAATCAAACAATGCAGTACAATCCTATGCATGTGTACTAACATACAAGAAGCAAATACTGTTGAATTTGATAAAAAGTTACCCTCATGTAAAGGTCGGTCGGTTCTCAGGAGTCTCCCCTTGTTTTTGTGCCACTGTCACTCATCGGGATGGTGCTGTCAGCAGCAGCCACAAAAATTGCCTTGGGAAGCACATGTGACCTCCACTCCGAGTCTTGTCCACTCTTGGTATATAGGATGGCACTTTGCCCAAGTCGGGCAGCAGAGGTATGAATGGAGATCTCTTCTCTTCTCTTTGGAATGCTGATGGTGCATCAGAAAAAGGATCCTCTGTTCTTAAAAAGTATTGATGGCTTACAGAAAGAAGATGGCAAATATCTACTCAGACTCTGTCTTCTTACAAAAGCAAAACAACATTCAGTCATAGTACACGAAAAATAAAGGAGTCAGAGAGCAGGCTGGTGCCCAAGATAAATAAAGTGGCAGTATGGGAGCACAAGCAGAGACATCACCTTGCCAACAAAAGTCAGCATAGTCAAAGCTATGGTTTTTCCAGTAGCAATGTATGAAAGTGAGAGCTGAACCATAAAGAGGACTGAGCGCCGAAGAATTGATGCTTTTGAATTGTGTTGCTGGAGGAGACTCTTGAGAGTCCCCTGGACTGCAAGGAGAAAAAACCTATCCATTCTGAAGGAAATCAACCCTGAGTGCTTACTGGAAGGACAGATCCTGAAGCTGCGTCTCCAATAGTTTGGCCATCTCATGAGAATAGAAGACTCCCTGGAAAAGGCCCTGATGTTGGGAAAATGTGAAAGCAAAAGGAGAAGGGGATGACAGAGGAAGAGATGTTTGGACATTGTCACTGAAGCTACCAACATGAATTTGACCCAATTCTGGGAGGCAGTGGAACACAGGAGGGCCTGGCATGCTCTGTTCCATGGGGTCACGAAGAGTCGGACACGACTAAATGACTAAACAACAACAAAAAGCCACTTTAAATGAATTCAAGTGTGTGGGGTCAGAGTAACTAACTACATGTAAGGGTACTAAAAGGACTTGCAGGTGTAATCTCAGAGTTTCTGTCTGTAATCTTTGAGAATTCATGGAGCATAGGGGACTGGAGATAAGCAATGATTGCCCCTATTCTCAAAAAGGGGAAATAAGAAGATCTATGCAATACTGGCCAGTCAGCTTGGCATCAATAATAGGAACGGCTCTAGAACAGATAATTAAACATTTGTTCTGTGAGAATTTAGAAAAGAATTTACTGATTAATAAGATGCAGCACTAGTTTCTCAAAAAAAACCAGGTTGGACTGATCTTACTTTTTTAAATCACAGGCTTAGTAGATAAAGGAAGTGCTGTGAATGTGTTGTATTGTGATTTCAGCAAGTCTTTTGATAAGGTCTCTCACAATACTCCTGTGATCAAATGTGGCCTTGACAATGCTACTTACTATTAAGTGAATTTGTTGCTAGCTGACAGGTCATGCCCAAAGAATGCTTGAGAATAGTTGTTCATTATCCCAGAAATAACTCACAAGTGTGGTGCCATGGCCTGGCTTTGTTCAACATCTTTATAAATTACTTGGATCAGTATGTGGAGGAAATGTTCATAAAATGTGCAGATGACACTTGACTTGGCAGGGGTAGCTAATACTTTGGAAGACTAGAATCTGGATTCAAAATAGCTGGAGCAAATTGGAGAAGTGGGCCAAAACAAACAAAATGAATTGCATTAGAGAAAAATTCTAAATGCTTGTAGGAAAACATCTCTGATGTTTCTAGATCAGGGTAGTTGACAGCTGGGTTGGCACTACAGTACCATTGAAAAGATCTGGGAATCTTAGTAGACTACACACAAAAAAAGCATGAGTCAAAAGTGTGATTTAACAGCCCAAAAAGCAAATGCAATGCTAGGTTGCATCAAAAGAAGTATATGTTTAGATCAAAAGACATAATAGTACCACTGTGTTCTACTTTGGTCAAACCTTGACTAGAATGCTGTCTCCAGTTCTGGGCTCCATAGTTTGATGGGGCAACAAAGACAGTAAATGTCCAGAAACCAAGTTTTATAAGGAATAGTTGAGGGAGTTGCATATGTTTACGTAGCTTAGAAAAGAGAAGGGTTAAGAAGTGATGTAATAACATATTCAAATATCTGTGGTGCTGTCATGTGAAAGATGAAACAAGTTTCTGCACCACAGGAGGACATTATTAGAAACAGTCCATCCAAATTACAAGAAAAAATATTTCAACTAAGCATTAGGAAGAACCTCCTGGCAGTATGGCTTTTTTCCACAATGATGGAATGGACTTATTTAGAAAGTAGCAAACTCTCCTTTGTTGTAGGTTCTTAAATAGAGGTTGGATGGCCATTTGCTGCAGATGTTTTGACTGTGGAATACCTGCTTTGTAAGGGGATTATACTCAATGGCCATTGGAGCCCCTTCCAGCTCTACAATTCCACCGAATATGGTTTTCTCAAGGTTCCTCAAGGAGGCTTCTAAAGTTAGACTGGCTTTTTGTTTCTGAGCTTAGCTGATTTTCCAAGCCAGTTTGATGGGACCTGGGAGAGAATTGCCCATCTAGATGTACTATTCTAACATGCATATCAGATAAATAGCCTTTTTAGTAGCGATATATAATTTTCTTTAGGAACAAAAGCAACAGTACTTGTATACATTAACATATATCTCTTCTGCATATTTCCTTCCTGATTTTGGTAGGTCAAAAAAGTTCCAGTCCTTCATTGAAAGTTGTCTTGTAAAGAATCATGGTCAGAGGCCAACCACCGAACAGCTGATGAAGCATCCATTTATTCGAGATCAACCTAATGAAAGGCAGGTTCGCATCCAGCTCAAGGACCATATTGACAGAACAAAGAAAAAACGTGGAGAAAAAGGTGGGTTAATTTTGTTCTAAGTGCTGTCTGCAAGAGCAATATAGTATTGGTCCAATGCATAACTTCAAAATGCCCCACAGCTGTTCCATCTTTTGACTTTTCGATAAAGGGGGAGAAGTACTATTAGAAATTGAGACAACTCCCAGCATCTGTATCCACCACCAGCACTTATCTTTTGACAGATATTATGCTCATCTGTAATTTGGAAGGAAAACTAGCAGTTCCTTGGAACTAAGAAAATTATCAGTTCAAACATAGGAATCTAACTTATACTGATTCAGACCAAATATCCATCTAGCTCAGTATTTGCAACTCTGATGGGCAGTGTCTTTCTGCGGTTGCAGGTAGGATTCTTTCTGACCCCTTCCTGGAGATTCCTCATTATCTCCTTTCCAAGTACTAATTGGATTGTCTTCTCAAATCCAAGATTGGGTGTATTCAGAGTGCAGTGTGATGGAAAAGAAAGCTGGAAGAACTATTCATATAAAACGAAAGAGAAGATTCTTATTCTTATGCCACTTGAGATGGGGAAGCTACTTTCAGGAGCAAATTAATATCCAACAAAGTGTTTATGTTGTTTAATTGGTCACTTGAAAAGCAGCAGGGAGACCAGCCTTGAGTTGCCACTGTGAAAATGTCAGCTTTAAGATAGTGCAGCTGTATTGACTTTAATAGATTTTATTTTTCAATCAGAGTAAATTCAGGGAGGATGTGTGTGCACATGTGTGTACAACTTACACGCAAGCTTCCAACCGTACCACATCTAAAGCTCTATACTGTTTGAGGCTATTAACACTTGGACAGAAGTATTCACTCCTCTGTAGTTAGTCAAGAGGAACATCTTGTCTTGTGGGCATTAATGATATCCCTGAGTGCATCGTTTTACTTTTCTCCCATATAAATCAATGGCTATTGTTTTTAGTTGTGTTATACTCAGGACAAAGCCTTTTCTCCATACCTGGATTAGTCTAAATTGGCAAGGGCCCCATTAACTTGCTAAGTAAAACATCATAGAGGAACTTGCTGTGTGGCCTAGAAAACCTNCCCCCCCCCCCCCGAATTCTAACGTAGGAAGCAATTAACACTGTGATGACCTTGGTATTTGGTCTAACATAGTATGTAGTGCATTTAAATGCAGTGAGATGTTCAAAGAGCAATGGAAAAACATGTTAAATTAAGTTTTATCTTACTGTTTTTTAACGTGTTTGGGTATATTTTCATTTTGTTAAGTTATTTTGGACTGTAAAAGTATGAACATTTCAGGAAGCAACAGAAAACAAAAAAATCAGGTTTATTATACCATGTCACAATATTTATTAATGTCTTAATATTTATTAAAGTCATGGAGTTTTTTAAATAATAGATTTAATGTTGATTGAACAGGCTCATAAAATGAAATACAGTATCAGGAGAAATGAGTTGACTGAATGTATTTCCAGTCTGCTAACTTCATAATATACATATATTGAATTTTTATAATGCCACCAAAATAGTAGATAAAATACTGTACTTTTAAGTAATATTTCATGATTTCTTTTGGCACATTATGATTATTATTCTTTTGAAATGCTAGCAAATTTTGGCTTAAATTATGGGGGGAAAGATGAGGGCTTTAAATTAAATCCACCATCTGAAATACCTTCCAAATTGGGCAAATTATGTCCCTCTGTAGCCGTCTGTGAAACAGTATCTGGAAGGTACCTCAAAAGATAAGAGAGCCACCTTCCCATAATGCAAGCATTCATACAAGTTGTATGTCACACTTGAGTTATATCAGCACAGTCCAAAGCAGATTTTAGTTTGGTGTTAGACATATTTTCTTTCACAAATGAATGATGTATGCTAGAGATACCAAGTTACTTGATGAAACAGAGCTTTTCTCATGTGATAATTTTGCATGCCAAGAGAAGAGCTTTTGACTTTCCTCAAAATGTTCTAGAAAACAACATAATAGGTATTGTACATATTGGCTGTGAGGAAATATTAATATGACATTATACCAGTTTACTAAGCCCAAGGTGTCTCCATCAGCAATGAACATCTGCCATGGTCTCAAGCAAAACGTCCTGATTCTAAGACCAGATATCCTACCCTTATGGCTTGTTGTAAAGATTTCAGGGACGTGGTGGCACTGCGGGTTGAACCGCAGAAGCCTCTGTGCTGCAAGGTCAAAGACCAGCAGTCGTAAGATCAAATCTTCGTGACTGAGTGAGCTCCCATCGCTTGTCCCAGCTCCTGCAAACCTAGCAGTTTGAAAGCATGTAAATGCAAGTAGATAACTAGGTACCGCCATGGTGGGAAGTAATGGCATTCCGTGTCTAGTTGCGCTGGCCACGTGACCACGGAAACTGTCTACGGACAAACGCTGGCTCTATGGCTTGGAGACAGGGATGGGCACCGCGCCCTAGAGTTGGACATGACTGGACAAAATGTCAAGGGGAACCTTTACCTTTACCTTAAAGATTTCAGACTGAAAGATTTCGTCAGAATATGTAGATGACGCTCTTTCAGTGTGCATCAGCTTTGGAAAATATGCCCTCCAAATTCAGAGAATAGGGTCTGCCCAATGGAATGCAATTATATTTTCATAACCTCCATGGTTTTTATCTTTACTTAAATTCAGGTTCATTTGGTAGATTGTCAGGTGAAGTCAAGTCATTCCTGAAACAATATTGATTCACATGCTCCCAGCACTAAAATGAAAAAAAAAAATATGTTCTTACACAAGAGCCCCGGGGCCTTCATCTAGCAGAAAAATGAATCGTTTCCGTAAAGGGCACTGACATTCAATTATGTTCCTAGATGAGACTGAATATGAGTACAGTGGAAGTGAAGAGGAAGAGGAAGAAAATGACTCTGGAGAACCCAGGTAATGACCAAAGTTCGTTTCTGATTATGTCCCTGTATATAGTGCTCTAAGTAGCACTGCTAAAGGCACACTGATTGGAAGAATATAATAGAAGGATGTGTAGGTTGAGCTTATGGGTCATGGGGTGATAGGGGGGATATGTTGTCCTCATAAATTGGGGTGGAGGGGGCAATTCTCTCTAAAATTGGAGTGTTGCTTGTGATTCACCCCTGCCTCTAACTAGTATCTTTCACTGCTGGCTCATATCCAGTGTACTTACAAGCATTTGAGCAGGTGCATAGCTCTCTGTTCTACTAATTCTAAGAAAGATATGATGATAATAGACTAGGATGGACAGCTTCCAGATATCTGCATACCAGACTTCAGAGGGTGTCCCTGAGGTTTCTTCCCTGCCTCCCTCAAATAACTCACAATCTCCAGGCAGGCAGGAAGAGAGCAATTTCAAATTGTGCTCCCTGAGCTACTGCATTGTGTTTTTCAAACTTGGAAGTGACAAAAAATATTTCCAATTTAGAACAAAAATATCCTCCCATAATTCTAAAACAGCCAGGGTGCAAAAACATGATTTAGTTGTCCCTCCAGACTTGAGATTTGATTTGGAGGCAAAGGGATGTTGGAGGGTGCATTTGAATGTAGGTTTGCATCCAGTTGTAGAGGATATTTGTAGAAAAATCAACCGTGCGTCATTCTGCACTGTATTGTTTCAAACTGCATGTGTGAATTTCATGAAAGGTTCTGTGCATGCAGTAAAAGTACATTGCATAGAAAAGACAAAGCAGACTTTTGTTTTCTCTGTCTTGCTTTGCTGTGCATAGAGAATTGTAGCTGCATAACACACTGAATATGGCAATACAGTGGTGCCTCGCATTACAATGTTAATTCGTTCCAGAGAAATCGCTGTAGAACGAAAACATTGCAAAGCAAAATTAAAAAAACCATAGAAACGCATTAAAACCTGTTTAATGCATTCCGATGGACTTAAAACTCACCGTCCAGCGAAGATCCTCCACAGGGTGGCCATTTTCACTGCCTGTCTTGCGAGGAATCCATCCCAGAAAACAGCGGGGGGCCATTTTGTTTACTTGGTGGCCATTTTGAAACCGCCGATCAGCTGTAGGAAAATCGTCGTTTTGCAAAGAATCGGTTCCCGAAGCAGGGAACGGATCATCGCAAAGTGAAATTCCCCCATAGGAAACATCGTAATGCGATTTCATTGTTAAACAAAGTGATCGTAATGCGAGGCACCACTGTACTTAAAATGGGAGCAGCTCAATAAAAAATTTACAACTTTTGAACTGGACTTTTCATCAGCACCACATTTGTTGTAGCAGACAATCTGCTCTTGTCCTCCTATCTGAGGATATTTGAACAATGGGTTTTTTAATTTTTTTAAAAAAGTAAGTATGTTTTACCCACTCCCATTGAGAAATAGGTCACCTCAAACTACCACAGATTTAAAAGAGTGCACATAAATTGAACAGACTAATCATGTTTCTCTTGAAAGAGAGTTGTTGGCCATACCTGCTTTTCTTAATTTGGAAAAAAATAAAGGCTGTAGGGGCTAAAATATTGGTGCCCCCCCAAGGCCTTTCAGATGGGGAAAAAACTGTGATTTCTTATAATACTGAGCATGCCTGGTATTGCCAGGAAAAAGAGCTTCAGCAAAGGCTACAGCTGCAGGGAGGCAAGAGAGATAGATATTGAGAGGAAAGGTCATGGCCCATATTGAAAGTAATAAGAGTCAAACAAGAGGCTTGCTTTAAAGAACATAATGCAGTGATTGTCTTCCAGAGAGGGGGACATTTTGCTATGCATCTTCGAAGAATTAGCATACAATTTTGTAAAGCATATTGAAGTGTTTCTGCATACCTTACAAAAGCACACAACATTTGTGATTGTCCTAGACCAGAGTGCTTTCAGTACACATTCTCTCAGAATTTTTAAGACCAGCCTGCTAACACATGTTTTCAAAGAGGGGATTCGCTGTGGATCTGGGGCAATTCGAAGTTTTGAACTTGTCGTTCATTTAGCTGACTGTCAGCAGAACTTTTTAACTCTTTTCCTGGCCAAACAGGAAAAGAGGATACTCACAAGAGGATTCTGTGTCTGGCTGAAAAAATACTGATATTTAAAAAGAATTTATTTATTTATTTATTTATTTGCTTGCTTGCTTGCTTTTTGGCTTGGAATTGACTTGCAGACTGAGATTTGACTTACAGACCAGAAAAAAACCAAAATGGAACAAAAACGGCCTGTTACGGGATTAATCGGTTTTCAATGCACTGTAGGCCAATGGAGACTTGACTTACAGACTTTTTGACTTGAGAACCGCCTTCCAATACGGATTAAGTTCTCAAGTCAAGACCCCACTGTATTTAAAAAGAATTTATTTATTTGCTTGCTTGCTTGCTTTTTGGCTTGAAATGGTTTTACTCAACATTAACAGAACTTTCAGGCCTATATCCTATTACAGTCTCCAGTTAGTAATTCTAATGTTTGTTGACTGTATTGAGTTAAAGACCTCAAAATGTCATATCATTAACAAAGCTTGCAAATCCATAGCGAGGATCCATATGGAGTCTCATGTTAGATCATTCTCTTTTCCTACTGTCCTCCTTCCTTGTTTCTTCCTGTAGGTTCTGCTCAGGTGTTGCAACCTAACAACTATGGATTTGATGGTTGTTCTGGGTTTTTCAGGCTCTTTGGCCGTGTTCTGAAGGCCAAAGAGCCCGAAAAAAACAGAACAACCATTAGATCCCGGCCGTGAAAGCCTTCGCGAATATATTAAACTATGGATTTCTTTATTGAGACAATCTGTCCTATGTTAGGTTTTTCTCTCTTCCTTCTGTCCCTCCCCACTATCTACAGCAATGTCTTTTTCAGTCATTTCTGTACTCTCATTGTATGTGCAAGATATGATAGCTTCAGTTTACTCATTTGTGCTCTAGTGGGAGTTCTGGCTTGACTTGAGCACCCACCTTTCTGTCTCTTTGACAGTATGTGGTATTTGTAAGACTCTCCTCCAGCACAGCATCTCAAATGAGTTGATTTTTGTCCCATCTTTCCTTTGACTGTCTGTGGTATTTGTAAGATTCTCCTCCAGCACAGCATTTCAAATGAGTTGATTTTTGTCCCATCTTTCTTCTCTGTCCATATTTTTTATAGTATGGATTGTTTTGGCCTTGGTTTCCAGTGACAGACTTTAGTAACTCACGCCCCCTTTTTATTTCAAAAGGGGATGGGGCATATTTTAGAAAACATGTGGGCAACATGTTCATAGAGCATTGGGTGCTTTTTTAACTTCTCTTCTTTTAATTGCCTGCACAAACAAAAATGATCTGGAAATTGGAAAATACAAGGAGAAACTTGTAGTTTCAAAAGAAGGCCATGTGGAACGTTATATCCATAATGCCTGAGCTTCTTTGTTTGAGAAGATGGGGTGTGATATACAATCAACAGCTTCCTGAGCTGTAACTTAAAAACTACACCTCCAGTGCCACTTGTGCTTTTTCTAACTTACCTCAAAGAAACAAGCCTGGCTCACTAGCTGCCATGGCTTTTTGGGATTCAGTTCTTTGCACTGATAAAACTCTGGTGCATGCCTGAAGAAATGGCCTTTGATCCATGAAAGTCAGCAGATTGTATGATTTTCAAAGTGGTCTAATAAAAGTATCACCTACTCCTGCATTGTTCCCAGGATTGAAGCTGCTCTTTGCAAAGCAAAGCTTGGCATCCTTTTTCCTGCTAGAGATTGAAGCTGCCCTTTGCAAAGCAAAGCTTGCCATCCTTTTTCCTGCTAGCAGTGCAATCACGTTATTGATTTCAATATTGGGGCATTTCCCGGTGTTTTGAATTGTGGACAGAGAAGCACAATATCCCATAGTCATAAACCAGAGGCTTCTGAAGAATTAAATTTTTACATGAAAGACTTCAAATCTGACAACCTTCAGACACAGCCTAAGGTAGTATATTCTTGCAAGAGCACACTGGGGATTTGACTCTTCCCAGCCCTCTGAATGTTAGATGAAGTTCTGTGCAGATGTATCTGTGGACTCATACAAATTTATCTTTCCCTGAAGCTCCATCCTAAACTTGCCAGGAGAGTCAACATTAAGGCGAGACTTTCTGAGGCTTCAGCTTGCAAATAAGGAACGGTCAGAGGCCCTCCGTCGGCAACAGCTAGAGCAACAACAACGTGAGAATGAAGAACACAAGCGACAACTGTTAGCAGAACGGCAAAAGAGGATCGAGGAGCAGAAAGAACAGAGACGGAGGTTAGAAGAGGTACGTCTTAGATGCTGAGCAGCCGGATTTTCGAGAAGGGGCTGCGTTCTAGAACCCAATTGCATTAGCAATTGTTTTCTGTAGTTAGATTCAGCTTGGCTGTCATTTCAAGTATATGTTTATTTGCACATCGTTCAATCTGTGTTCAAAAATCTGACTTCCACATGAGTAGCAAAAGAAGGTCATGGAATGAATGACAAATGAAAAGCCAGATCTAATTGCATAACCCAGGTTTAGGATGTCATAGCCTGATGGCAGGAAGGAAGGCCTAAGAATTTTGTGTCATTTACTAAGGCAGTATTAGTCCAAGGAGGACTGTTTTGTCAATATCTTGCTATAAATCAACATTCTTTCCTAAGCATTTGATTTTTTAAAAAGGTAAAGCCAAAACTGCTTATTTGGCATGTGTGAGAATACTTTTACATTGCTTTATAGAAATTGGGCGTCTTTTTTGGAATGGGTTCTAAGATGATGCCATCATTGTCCATACTACATTCCTTTGCTTCATCTCACCTCCAGCTGATGTGCCCATCTGAGCCAGCCAGCTTCATTGGGCTTGGAGCCTCACCAATTGGAGAAACAAGGCAAAGTAAAACCGGTTTTGAAGGGTGTCAACTAGAGGAGTACTTTTCTAACTGGAATATCTACCAGGGAGCTGGATTTGCTTTCCTGTGTCTTTTCTGCGGCAGCCATTTAAATTTCACCAGAATGCAATGCCTAAGGCGTATGACCAGAAATTAAAATAACTGCTCAGTCTCATTGGTTCATTCTCCTTTTATTACTGCTACCAGGGAGGTGATTGAACAGGCAGCACAGAAGTAGCTCTGCCAGAAGTAATGGATCTGTGAAAGCTGGACTTGTCAGCACCGTCACCCTTCAGCTCCTCACAAAACACATCATTGTGGTGGAAAGTAAAATGGCTGCCCCAGATGCAAAACATGTAATTCCAGCCTGATACTCCTATCATAAAACAAGCACTTTATGAAAACAAATGAAAGGGGATTGCAGGTGCCCAGCATCTGTAACGTTTGCCTGACAATGGTACTGGATATTCAAGTGACTCATATGTTCTTTATTGCTCAACATGGGACATATCTCAATTTATCCCATTTACTGTTCAGCTGCAAATAGGCAGTTCTCCCTGGTGTTCACAAGTCAGTTTCACCCTGTCCAATTCACTTGCTTGTTATTCAGGCCACTTTATTCCCAGACTGAAGAACGTACTTACAAAGGGTGGCCCATTCCTCGCTGGTGCTCTCATCACCACTCATACATTGAAGTCTTCCATCCTGTTTGAGAGAAAGACAATTAGCTGTCTGTGCCAAGAGGTCACGAGATAAAGGGCTTGAACAAATGGATCTTCCTGTTACATGGAAGGAGTCGTTTTGGTCTTTATATGCAGCCAGAGCCCCCTTTTGTTCTCTGGGTTTCTAGGCAATGGGCAATGAAGCCCAAGGGTAGTCATTTAAACATAAAAGAATGTCAAGCTTCTGACTTCCTGCCCTCTACGGATAGTCAGTGGTTCTTTTCTAAGCCTGGTGTCTGCAGCCCCCTCCAGGGCCGTAAGGAAAAGGCAAAACATGTATCAGACAACAGCGTCAGTCCATCTGGCCAGTACATGACGGCTGCTTCAAATATTACTTTGTATTACCACAGTGTTGGTTGTAATCCATAAGAATTAGTCTTCTGTTTATCTTCTCTTTTTCCTTCATAGTAGTAAAACCTGGATGCAGAATCACTCAAAGGAGCTTGAATACAGGTTGTTTTCATATTTTTAATTCCCCATTTGATATCCAGGGCTCTCAAACTCATTTCGAGGTTGCATTAAAATGCTTGTGTTTTTTAGTACTACTTCACTACTGTATTTGCATGGCACTTTCAAAACCAAGTATGAGGTTATGGCCAGATTACAAAGCATCTTACCCATGATTTGACAAAGAAGGACACAGCTGTCAAGGTGTCACAAAGAGCCCTACTTGTATCTGTGTAAGATATGAAAGCCCATGATGTTTACACCCCATTGGGCAAGGAATGTTGTAAAATTGGAGCCAAAACTGAGGAGATCCTCAGCTGTTTATTACAGAAGAGCTAATTTGGCTAGGTCTGTACCTGGAACACATACTGAAGTGGTAGACTAAGATCTGCCACTTCAGATTACAGATGGCAGACACCACTCTTTAGTAATTCCCAATAAATATAGAGAAAAATAAAACACCCTTCTTTCGAACAAGCTTGAGATAGGGTGTATGATTTGCTCTGAAGGGGGAGGAGGTCTGTATAAGGACTCTCAGAAAGCAGCTTATGCTCATTTAAGAAGGTTGTTTCCATCCCCCACTCCCACACTCAAGTAACAGAGGTAGTATTTCCCAACACCTCTTTGTTATTTTTCCACTCCTAGCTGCGTGAGTGTCTAAGATGGTCTTGGAATCATGTATTTCCTAAGGTCCTTTTTTGCAACCTCTCTCGCTCTCTAAAAACCAGCTGCCAAATTGCAGCAGAAACCATGAGTAGTGGGACCTATTCAAAGTCATTTGCTTTTAGTGCCTGATTAGGGAGCTGTTGCCAAAAATATGGCCAGAACGGCCAACACTGTTCAGAGCAATAAGACAAAAATATGGGAAATATGGGAAACACTGCTTCAAGCAAACAAGTGCTTGTTCTCAGAAGCATGTGACATTTTTCTAAAGAGTTTTTGCCTGATACATCCACTAAAATGGGGTCGTCCCTGGTAGAGGCCAAATTTCAGCAGCACCATTGGCTGCCTTACAGTCAAGGGGCAAAAGTCATCTCCAGATAGCCTAAGTTTTCTCCAAAACCAAGGTTAAGAACATAACACAGAGGTAAAATCAGAAAACAAAATTCACAGTAAATATAATTTTATGCCTACAATGTTCTTTAGAAAAGTTGCATTTTTGGACCAAAATTCCCACAATTGTCCTAACTAGCAGGGCCAGTGGAAATTTGGCCAGGTCAGCTGTAATGAAGAAAAACAACTTTTTAAAGACTCTGACCTTGAACTGGTTTAAAAATGTGAAATCAGTGGAAGAATATTATCCTTTGGGTGATAACAGATGTGAAATTAGCTGCTGTCTTGTGTTGTGGGATTGTGTGGTCAAATGTCTTTTTACACCAAAAGAAGTCAATCTCTTCTGCTGCTTATCTTCCTCAAAGAAGTTTTCATTTGTGAGCAACCTAGTTTATTTTATTGTATTTTATTTATATCCCACCCATTTAGACCGAAGTCTACTCTGGGCGGCTAACAACAGTATTAAAATAAAATAAAACAACAACATTATTAATACACTAGAGGATGGCAAAATAACGTATCTGTTTATTTGGCTTCTGTTCATTGTAGGGGAAAATAAGGAGTTGAGAATGCTTAGCAGTTTGCTGGATCAGGCCAGAAGGGGAGTAGATAACTAAAATCTAGCCCAAGACCTGCAGGAAACCTCTTCTTGATTCCTCTTGTTTTCTCAACTACTCCTTCCTCAATGCTGTGCTGGAAGTGGCTGGCCTGACGTGCACTGTTCCTTGAATGACTTTGCTGATATCATTTAAATTTTTTAAAAAAGAGCCTGTAGTTGTATGCATGGCACTGAGAAATTGATGTTCATGTTCCAGATGATTGGAAAACTCACCCCAGGCTGCTTCTTTCATGACTTCCTTCTCAGGCAATCCACCCTATTCCGATTCTGATTGACAAACTGCCCCTAAATAATCTAAGCTCTAACAGTGTGTCAGTGAGACTTTGTGAATGTCACGCACACTTTAATTTCATGGGGCTTTTTTTTTAAGGAAAAAAGATGAATGGATGGGAGACAAGATCAGGGTTTATAATATTATGTATGATGCAGTGGAAGTGGATAGAAATACTTCTTCTGCTTCTTGCATGTCACTAGAACCTCATCCCATGAACTGGACTGATGAAAGATTCAAATTTGGGCTTTAAAAGGAGATTGGGAGGTTTCATAGAAGGCTGGGCTCTCAATGGCTAGTAGTTACACATTCTTCCTGGTCTGCATCTGGTAATTCAGTGTGTCTGTATTACAATTTTCTGGAGAATAACAGTCATTCCCCTTTGCGTTTTGTTTGTAGACTTCACTGAAGTATCTGGTTGCCCTGTTGTAGAGCAGCTTTTGGCCTGATCCAATGTGGCTCTTTTTTTATCAGCATGTCCAAAGCTGACCATCTACATGGAGACTTTGTCAGTTCCAAAAAACAACAACAAAAAAAACAACAACACCAAAACCCTACTTTCAGACTCCATGCTGGTCAACATTGCTTTGCAGGAACATCTTTTTCCTGCTTTTTTTTTGTTATTGTCACTGGGAAGGTTGGCATCCATAACACCATTGGAAGGATATCAAGGCCTTTTCTGGCAAGCAGTAAAGTTAGAGATACAGTTCTTTCCAGACTCTACACCACCAGGATCAGGTCTGGAGGTTCCTCTTTTTCAAAGACTTTACACGTGGAAAAGTAGACGGGAGAGAAAACAGCCCAGCATGCACCTTGATCAGCGTGTATATATGATAAATTTTGGGGTAGAAAAACACACGGTCATGTGATTGCCACTTAGTAGTGTGAAGTAGTGCAGTTGTGTAAAGTTCTAACACCTCTCTACTGTATGAAATAGAATTTGTGTGTGTGTGTGAAATAGATGGGTAATGCTGGTGTTTTAATAGCCCTACAGTGACATTTGTCTGTTAGCCCCCACCCTTCCTTGTGTCTTCTTGATATTAAAAATTACGTAAAACACGTCTGTGCTCCAAACTGCCTTGCAATGAATCAAATTGTTCAGCTGGCACAGCACTGAATCTTAAGTCCCCAGATCAATTCTCACTGCAGGAAATAAATGGCGGTTGCTTATTTTCTCACCGAATCTAGATTCCTTTCCTGCAGGGATGCCTCTTATGACAGTGTCCAAGCATTCAAACTGTATTATACTAAGGGAAATGTTTTTCTTTCTACCACTAGTAAAGTTGTTATAACTGGAAGTGACT